ATCATGAACCGATGTACAGTAACTGCAAATGTAAACAAATAGGTGAACGCACACCCAGTATACAGACTATTATTTGCCTTTAAGACTCCTAAGTCACATATCACTGATATAAGAGGCGTAGTAAATTTGTTGTTTCAAGATTACCGTATATTATTTCTCATGATTCAGGATTGGTACCCCCCCTCCCCCTCCAGACAAACAGAAATATAGATGATACATCCCAAAAGATAAATATGAATTAACTCACACACAGAAAGGTTTCAAGATACTGTGTATAATTTCATTCACAACTGTATTTTAAACTACATACATACGGAAACCAACCTGTCACTCGACCAGTTAGGTGTTTCAAAATATTCTGCTTTGATACCTACATGTAAATATCAACAATGTTTATTTAATTAACATACACCGCATTGGTCAACAGTACTTTTAATGTTGATATGGCATGCACTTGGTCGCTCACAAGAGACTGCCCCTGCCACCGTTCTTAATATGCATATTATGTAATATATATTTGTATATAGTGAATTAGGTTGGCGTTATTTTTTCTTCTTTTTTTGGAGGGGGTGCGCCTAGCATGGGTCTCGTTGTCCCGTTTGCGCTATCCCCTTTGGACTTAAACTTGTAAATGTTTCTACTATATTTGTCCAATAAAGCTGATAAATAAATAATTCTTTATAAAACGTCGCACACAAGCAGCTGCATTGGATACAAAATAGACAGATTAGAGACAGATCACTCGACTAGTTTTCCCTCAGTTTGATCTTCGTACTCCTTCGATCTTTGATAAGTATTGCCGTTAGGTATTCCACAATTTGTTGAAAGAAAGCTCGTAGTTTGCATAGATAATATATACCCACTCTTAAATCTCACTAGGAAAGTTTTATTTATCATAATAATATAAAAACTCGAAAACGTCGCGCCTTCGCGCTGCCATGTTTGATAAAATCAATCGGCTCCGCTCCCCCCGGATTGAAAACTAAATTATTACGAAATGTCCAATATTTTTGGAATCAAATAACCAGTGTTTACCAGGGCTTTTGCCTGCCGTACCAGAGCCTCTGAACCGCGCAAAGGCCCTGGGTACGAGGTTGCTTCTTCTTCTCCTTTTTCTTCTTTTCTCCATTTTCTTCTTCCTCTTCTTCTTACTCTTCTTTTTTTCTTGTTAGGGGGCGACGCTCTTTGAAAAATTTAAGGCGCCGTCATTTCTTCTCCGATCGGAATGAAACTTGACATAATTATTCTAAGCAATATTCCGCATCAATTGACAATTGTCATTTTTGACTTTAGAAATAAGACATAGGCAATTATTGACTGTATTCGTAACAAATGTACGCATATCATTCATATTTAGCACATATATCAGCACAAACGCAAACATTCAGAAAGACATTGTCTTCTCTATTGTTGTGCATCAACCAAGTCACAATAGTCTAAAGCTTCTGAGAATGTGAACTACCAATTATAACGATTAATTGTAAGCGTTAAGTTCGACTAAACTTAACACACTGGCTTATAGTTTCTCAAATCGCAGAGAAGCAATACTCCGATCTGGCTGTCATATAATATTCATAGTCATAGAAAATCGCGAACCGTAAAAACAAAGCGAGATAAAACTGCATTAACCTAGCAACAATTCAGATAATTTGTTACCTTAAATGTTTACTCGGCACGTACGCGACTGTAGCTGCAATATTTTGCAATGGCACGCACGGCAAGGCAAAATTTGATATACAGCCGAAGTTAAATTTAGGCACGGCATGTTTATTCTAAATATTGTGGGAAATTTAACTTATTTATCGAACTCGAATGCGAGAAAATACTTTTGAAAACTGCGCATTTTGTTATCTATGCTTTGTCCAGTCTGATTTACACCTCATTTATACATGGCACTAGACACATTTTTGCCCGGTTAAAGTATCTTGTATGCATGACCAAATTAAAGCAGAACATTTAGCGAATTCGAACTCAGTCTACGCGGCATGCCAACGCTTCGAGAATCATTAGTTTCACAAGTGTCTAGTTATTTGTTTATCAAGTCGAAATCTCGAAGGTTTTGTTTTGAATATATTCAAAAACAAAGTTTAAAAAAGTTTAAAAAAGTTTAAAAAAGAAAAAAAAAATTAAAAAGTTAGATTTTCAAAAAAGTTTAAAAAAGTTAGATTAGGGTTAGGAGTTAGGGGTTAGTGGTTAGGGGTTGGGGTTAGTGTTAGGGGTTAGGTGCCGCGAATTTATCATATTGATAAATTCGGACGTGTTTAACAATTTTCTCATATAGTAAATTCAAAAGTGAAGCTCATGATGAAAATTCGACATATAAAACAGGCCTTATTCGCGACGTCGTAACTGCATGCTTGTGCTAAAAATAAATTTACATGTCTTTAATTGTTTTTGCGGTTCATAATTTTCCATTTTATATGATAGCCAGATAGGAGTACTATATTATTCCTCCGCGCTTTGAAAAACTAGGCCAGCGTGTTAAATTTAGCGGTCAACTTAACGCTTATAATTACTCGCTGGGGGCATCTGTGCGCAGGCGAGTATAGGTTTCGGCACACATTTTTGGTGTATGTCAGATTCAGATGTCGGATTCCCGATCGTCGTTGATAGTTACAAGATAGAATATTAATGAGCTACCAATTTTTACCCAAATTATCCATAAGGTTCCTGCTAGTTTTTACGGTCTGTGGCTCTGTGCCAGCGTATGTTGTGTTGTAGCAATAACACCAGAAAGCTGCGCATTGAGAACGATTCAACATCCTGAAAAATACAAGTAAAACTTCGACGTTTCGAGCGAAGGCCCTTTGTTGGGAAAGAGCCTTATACATGCTAACCGACAGGAGCGCCGGAAAGTCGATGATTGGGGGGGGCAGATATTCATACATTCATGTTCTGCATCATTTAATTCCTTTGAAAGCGATTGTTTTTACAGTCTGTGAACATGAATATATGAATATCTGCCCCCCCCCAATTATCGGCTTTCCGGCGCCCCTGCTAACCGTATATGCTAAGTGCTAACTATGCTTTTATAAGAACAGAGTAAACACCAGACACAGTACTAAAATGCGGTGCTTTAAAAATAAAACTTTCCGGCGTTCCGCCTACAAGCTGTGCTACAAGTAAAGTAATTAGAAGCGAACTTTCTTTAAGCCTTATTTAAATGTAATAATTTTCTTTTTAGTAACGACCAGAAGGCTTTTTTTTATAACAAATTTAATAAATTGTAACAGCGTTTCGGAGTTTAGTCCATCATCAGGTTACATTTATACGCACTAAAAAACCGTTAAAGCATGCAACCGTTATTATCCCGCGTGTATGCGCTTGCGTAAACATATAATTGACGTGTCCGAGAATTTAAATATATCAGTTAGATCAATTAGAACTAAGTGTTTTAACGAGCGTGTCCGAAAATAATATATAAATCCTTACACTAGAAAATTTGCTGCGCGAAGCTGTTCGTATTTATTGTTCAAATCTGGTTTTAGCTTCTGGATGAATAATGCTTCTGTGATCTTTCGGTCCAATGAGCCACTTGTTTTCTTCAGAATTTTCACAGTTAACTTTGGTTCCTGTCCAGGGTGGCACTCGATATAGTGTCTGGAAAAAGCCATGTTCTTATATGATGGTGCTGTGGGATTAGCTGCGGAGCGGTAGTGTTCTTTATAACTAACGGACGACTATTATATACTATTATATATTATTATATACAATTTTCGGACACGCTCGTTAAAACACTTAGTTCTAATTTATCTAATTGATATATTTAAATTCTCGGACACGTCAATTATATGTTTACGCAAGCGCATACACGCGGGATAATAACGGTCGCATGCTTTAACGGTTTTTTAGTGCGTATAAATGTAACCTGATGATGGAGTAAACTCCGAAACGTTGTTACAATTTATTAAATTTGTTATAAAAAAAGCCTTCTGTTCGTTACTAAAAAGAAAATTATTACAAGTAAAGTACTAAAGGTCATATTTGATACAATAGACAGATTTAGACCGAGGACGTGGACGTCAAAGACGACGTGGAAATGACGTCACAATGGCGTGGCATATCCATACATGGGCACAACACGCCATTTTCACGTCGTCTTTGACGTCCTCGATCTGTCTAATTATAGTACGATACGTACATTCCTCCTGTCGGCTGGCAGTTGTTTCGTAGTATAGGGTTAGAACGTCGCTTTAAAACCTACAAAAAGCTATGTCGGATCAAAATGAAGAGAAAAGTGAGACGAACCATTCGTATACGACCGAAAAAGAAGATGAACGATACGATCAAAAGTACTGCATTGTTTTAATTAGTTATTAATTAAATAATAATTTTGAGCGTTTGTTTCGATTTGTCAACAATAGAGCGTTTGCACATGACATCACAGCCGCCATGTTGGTGTTCCAATTCAATCGAATTTTAATTAGACTCTTTTGTCTGGAACACCAACATGGCCGTCCATGGCTTTGGTTGAGTTGGCCCCTGGGGAATGAGTACGAACGCTCTATACAATTTCGCTTGTCTTTAAAATACCATAAATCGCTAGAGTGTTGTTTGCTGTTTAGTAATGAATTTTGCATCCATAAATACAATTCCGTACGCTGATTCAAACGATGGTATTTTTGTCCTTGTTGCGGGTGTATCCAAAATTTTACAACCAGGTGACAATTGGGACAGGTGACAATTGGGACAGGTGACAATTAATTCTTCAATTGGCCATATGATTGTAGGACGCTCTAAACATGCGTATCATTATAGGCATAGCCCTAGCAAGTTAACGCTCTTTTGAGCGTCTTGTTAATCGTTATAATTAATCGTTCACATTCTTGACAAGCTTTAGACTATTGTGATTGTGTTCACAACAATAGACAAGAGAATGTCTTATCGTTTGCGTTTGCTGATATATTTGCGGAATATTAATGATATGTATTTATTATTCGCTACGAATACAGTCAAATATTGCTTGTATCTTGCTTCTAAACGTCAAAAATGAAAAACTAAACACCGTCAATCTATGCGGAATATTGCTTACAATAATTATGTAAAGTATCATTCCGATCGGACAAGTAATGACGGAGCCTCAACGACGACGACGATGACGGCGACGGCGGCGACGACGACGACGACGGCGACGAGATTAGAATTAGAAGAAATTCAAATTAGCCATAATTGTGAAATCATGCATAATTAACGAGTCTATTGTTACAATCATAACGCAGTATTTTCGTCACATGTATGCATCTATAACCCTCCATAACGTTCAACTATCTTATAAGCTTGGGGAGGGATATTGAGATCAAACCAGGGAAAAGCTTGGGTTGATGAATTGTGAATTCATATAATATCATAGTTGCCTCGAAATTCTTTGTCTCGCGAGGTACGATTAATCACTAATTTACCTCATTACTAAAACATGGAGTAAAATTAGAACTAATTTTACCACGGGCAAAATTAGAACTAATTTTACCACGGGCAAAATTAGAACTAATTTTGCCCGTGGTAAAATTATACGGGCAAAATTAGTTCTAATTTTACCTCATATTTTATGTATACCCTCTACCACTTAATATATCTTCATGATCAATTAACTCACAAACGCAAAATCACTTGAATTTCAAAGAATAGCCTTTTTTATGATACACACTGTATACACAAAGTCACTTTAATTTTTAATGACATGACTACATAATACATCAAATGAATGCTAATCTCCATTATCGAACCCCCAACAGTCAATAATAACAATCAACAAACCCGCTTAATATTCTTTTAACTTACTCAATCAAGTAAAAACCGTCCTATACTCTCGGCAACTATGATATTACAAAGTTTTAGCATGGCATTACGGTCGATTAGTGATGAAATGTCCTTCAAGCCTCGACAGGTATATTTTTATTTTTAAATTTTAATTACACAACTGTAATGTTCTCACACAACGAAGCGATGTCACAATACATTGTCAGTACGTTGCCTTGTTGGAATGTGCATGGTTAATCAGTTTTTCTCATTTACCACATTAATGGTACAATTATTTAACACCGAGTTCGTGCATATCTTTTCCCCATTGCTGGTTCTGGTATTACGACTATTTCGAAGCTTGAGCAACTGCACACTTAGTTGCGCCTTTCATCTCTGCGTAAAGTGTTCTTCGACATTTTCTAAACCTATGCACATTTCATCAAAGTATGCGAATTTCACAATGGTATTTCTAAATTTGCCAGTAAATTAGCAAGAATTGCATACTAAAGTAAAAATGATATTATAGTGTGTACCTGCTGTCACGTTTATCCAAAATATTAAATCCTTACATCAGCTAAATTACGATTTAATTAAGCCGCACATAATCAAATACACACTTTTAAAAGGATAACTTTCGCCATTTATTTTTGCCGCTTTGCAAGCAAACTTGCTGAGCCAATGAGCAACGCTAGGCACCGACATTTCTGCTAGACACACTGTTAAATATTTGATCTGTAGCGAACATATGCATGTGCCTCAGTTGCGACATCGACACACACTCTCTTGTCAAGCCGATTGTTTTGCAACTTCTCAAATCCTCGTGGGCATTGATTCTTCAACAAACAAACTTTCCTCATCTAACGTCTTCGGCTCACGAAAACGACAGGACATTCTTTGATAAATCAAGTTGTTGCAAATATTTTAATCACAATACTCTACATGGGCTATCGCTACGAACCCGTGAACGAGACTGAACGCTTAAAATTTAATTTATGCATTTTCAACCCTGTGTCTCTCCCGTGATACTTAACGACTGAATACCTCAGCACAAAATTGCCGAAACGAACAAAGCAAATACTCATTAAGCTTAATTTTTTATTTCACAAGCACGTTAAAATAGTCGCGACAGATCTGCATGGGATTTACAATGGCTTGTGCTACGCACTCGCCATTGTAAATACCCATACAGCAGCCTAGTCCCAGTCGTTTTGAAGCAAGCGCGAGAAAAAACGTGGATGTAGTAAGAGACTGGGACCTAGGTGTGACATCACCGCTAAAGGTGCTTCAGAACGCCTAGCAGATTTCAGTATTTTTAATATAGCGGAAAATTTATATAAACAAATAACCTTATATAAATACTACAATGTTCGTTGATCATGTTCGATGTCTACATAACCAAATTCAAACTGTATTAAAAATGTGCTCAATTAAAAAATATATACAAATTTACGATGCTGAGAATGGTCGTATAATCGTTGATGATATTTATATACTCGCAAGTTGTGATCAACACTAGACCATACTGGTATACACAACTACGCTTTCTACTTGACAAGTTTAAGTAGCTGAGGAGATTGGAAATATTTGCCTGACATGACTGTGTTGTCAAAAATTTTTAGTCGGAAACTCGGCATAATTTTCAAGATTCTAGATATCATTTAATGTGGCTTTATATTTTAGTAAACACGAGTCATATTTAGCCAGTTAATCCATTCTGACCGTATGGTAGCGAAACGTAGCCTATTTCATTGTTCCGACAGCATTAGAGCAGAACTAATGACTTAATTATAAACGCAAAGGAAATTTCCATAACATTTTCTATTTACAAATGCGGTATGTTTGGTAACCAGGCCAGGGACCACTTTTTTGAAATCAGGGACCATTTTACCGAAATCTGCTAGGCTCTCTCGCTGAAGCGTTCCGCATAGCACACCCAGGCATAAAACTTTTAAGACTCATTTAAATATATCAAAGCAGCGAATAGAGAGAGAGAGCCTGGGACTAGGCTGCCCATACAGATCTCTCGCTCGTATTTTAACTACAGGGCGTCCCCAAAACCCCGAAAACTAAATCACTTAGTGTTAAAATTTGAATGCCCTACCGAAAAGCTGGTAGTAATTATGCGTAAAATATTGACAAGGTGCATGCATGTATTAAAATTTAGTTAAGAACATCTCCTTGTAAGGTACGCGATTTTCTGCTCTTCGGAATTTAAAGCAGCTTCTTGAATAGTTTCTTTCTGCATAAAATTTACTTATGTCAATCACTTTTGCACTCGTGGGAACCAACAGAGTGCTAAGCCTAAGGCATTCAAATTTTAACAATTAGATTGTTATTGGTGATTTCAATAGTTTTTGGGGTTTTATGGGACACCCTGTAGTACTTATAGTGATTTAATAAGCGTTGAGTTAATAATATATGACAAAAAAACTGGCTTATCTAGCTACAAAAGAGATCAATTATAACTTTATTTTACACGTATTAGCAAATTGAAATGCGTTCTCTAAATGCGTTCTCTAAATGCGTTCTGCACGGCAGCTAAACTTCTCGGCCGGGTGCTGTTGTAACGCAAAACAATACATGTTCTTTGCTCCGTCGTCAACTGAACATTTTATCTGTCTTCTATACAGTTTGTAGAATAAACTTCAACATATTTCTTTAAGTTCTTCGGACATTTCCCATAAGTAGACAATCTTTTGTTTTACGGCTCAAGAACTGATTCGAAGCAATTACTCTCGAGCAATATAATATTGTTTTGAAAATATAAACGCATGCACTCGTCCGCTCGATCGTTTTTTGTTCTGCTTCAGCACACCTAGGCTCAATCATATTAATCAACAAGTACATACGATTCTGCTATAGTTGACCAGGGCATGTGAGTTTTCTAATATTGTCGACTGGGTAGCAACGATTTCAAATTTGTCTAATACGCATAAAATACAAGTATTTCATCAAACGTTCTTTGAGACTATTTTGCGTCTATCATCTGCGAATAACTTTAACCATGTCAATTTACACCGTTCTTCGCTGATCTAAAGTGTAAAAGATAACACAATTTCAAAACCGAAACAGTCACTGACGAATGGGAATTGGGGAAAGGATTTCCAAACTTGTTAATTTATATATCTCTAGATTTATACTTGATAATTTATACATCCAAAGATTATGACGAATCCTGATAAAAATGTTTGGATAATCAGGTTTGTTAATAGAAAATAAGTTTTTCTATTTTGTGAATGACACTGTGATAATTTATTGGAAAAACGTTCGAATAAAATAATAATGTACCTCGCGTTTGGATCTTAAAAATTAGTAATTTAAAACAAATGGAACGACATGGAATTAAGATATGTAATGCAATACAGAATTTGCAATTAATTTAAACAAAAGCGAAGCTGATTTCGACAATCAATTATGGAGGGTTCTGAAGGGGTAAAATGGGAACTGGGATTTGCTTATTTTTGGGTGGAAAAATGGATTTCATGCACTGGGACTGGGATTCATCAGCAAAAAAAACAATAGAAAATGGGAATGGTATTAAGATTTGAGCAGGACAGCCACTGAAACGATGGGATTTGTGCTCTGGGACAATGGGATTTAGTCACAATTTGAGTTGGCAAATGGGAATACGACCCCCCCCCCCTACCCATTCAGGACCTTCATTATGCGGTTAGGTACATTCAATAAAGTGAAAATCAATTGCACGAAACAAATATCAATAGCATTTATTGTTAACCATCAACGTTTTTAAAAAACTTCAATAGAATTAAATCAAAAGACATTTAACAGCAACAAATATTAATTAATAAACATAAATTGGAAACTGTGGCCCCGAGGGAAGCAGGGTAATTAACCATGAATACATTAAAGGTACGTATAGTAATATTTCATAAACGAGTGCGAGTGTTTTACCAGGGTTTCCAAACACCCGAGAACAATGGAATTCACGAGGCTGTTTACCAAGCAATTTTTGCTGTTCTCGAGAATTTGCAAAACACGAAAGACAATGAAAACACGAGGCTGGAACTGCCGAGTAGCTTTTATTGTCTTGAGTGTTCTGCAAATTCAACAGAACAATTAATATCGCATCAGGTGAATTCTGTTGTTCTCGAGTGTTTGGAAACCCTCACTAGAGACTTTACGATTTTAGGACAGCAACGTGGCGACAACGGCCAAAACAAACTCGTTCAAATAAATGGTAGTAAAGATAATCCGTCTTGTATTATTAATCGTATAAATGTAATACACTCTTAGAAGTTGAAGCATGGGTTTTATGGTTGGGAAGATATTTGCTAAACTCAGTTTGAAGTTGCACTTATTGTGGCTTGAAATGCAGCCGTTGTATCAAGACGTGAAAATCTGTGATTTGGCGTTGCAAACAGAGTGAGAACAATGCCTAAATTATTCATATATTGTAATTATTCAATTCTTTTTCATAACTGAGAAATGTTTTTATAAATGAGAATCCTTCCAATCGCTTTCCATCCACAGCAAAATTTATATTTAGTACGTACCCAATCAAAATGTCGCACGAGAAATTTAAATTTCACACAACGACAACAACAATCTAATTATACTTGTGATCACTATAAAATATATCAACAACAATAGTGCAGTTTAATTAGCACCAGCCAATCAAATGACAGATTAATTTAAAAAATGTTTTGTCTCAGAGACCAATCAAATTTACAACCGAAATACGGTTGCATGTACGGCATGGTTTTTGTTAAGGTTTGTATCAGGCCAGGCCTATTTATTTATTTATAAGCCTGATCGCAGGTTATTCACGTTGAGGAGATAGAGCCTGCCGTCAAGTATGCGGATAGAAAGGGAGAAATATAACCATACATTAGTGTCGTACAGCGTCCTAATTCAAATGGAAGGTATGACACGTGAATTGTTCGACGAATTCCTCGTAAATACGGCACTATGGAATGACAACGAAACTCATTTCCCAATTTTTGACGGAACGACATCGCATAGGAGAGCACAAGACCCAGCTAGGGATATCCAGACAAAGATTCTAACTCGTATAAGCCCATTCTTGAATCCTGTAGAAAAAGCATTCGGCTGTCTTAAGGCAAACAATAAGGCAGAAATTTCTCGTGCTCAGATTTAATATCGAATGAATGACAGGCAAGCCACAAGAAATGCACAGCTACCATTTGGTGAATTTTGAAAACAAATATTGATAGCGGCTGGGAAAGGAATATGCCCTCGATCAAGTTGCAAAAATGTACCGCTTGGTGCAGACGTATACAGACATACTTACCAAGATGTCTTGCAAGGGAACATATCCAGGGCTAAAAACTATGACATTCTTTGTTGTTGTGTGAACATAAAAACATTCAAAATATTTGTTAGAACGTCACGTCTCTGACTTTATATTAATGAATATTTGTTGCTATTAAATGTCTTTTGATTTAATTCTATTGAAGTTTTAAAAACGTTAATGATTACCAATAAATGCTATTGAAATTTGTTTCGCGCCACTGATTTTCACTTGGCGGAATATATAATGACGTGTTGTTATTGAACATACCTAATCGCACAATTGATGGTCGATTAGCGGTATTGAAGTTCATCCTGTGTTATTGAAATACAAATCGTTCAAATGAGCCTCGCCTCTATTTAAATGAATTGCAAATGCTGTAAGTTCCAGGATTTGAAATAATATTTTCAGAAAATATATTTTTGGTTTAATAAATTGATTTTCTCATAATTATACTCTGCTCAGTCTGATGTACGTGGTCTTTGTATCGTAGTTGTTCATGCCGTAGAAATAGTTCATTCTGATGTAAATATATACCAGCTCCTCGTGTCAGGTTTTGTTTTACCCTGATTCAGCTTTCAAATCTATAACATGATTATAGCTACAAATCTGTATTATGCATCAGATAACTTCATTGTGGTGCAATAGCAACGTAATTTGAGATATTAATCAGCTGGTATATGTTTACCAATTTATAATATTGTTGTAAATAATGATATTAGATGTTCGGATAGTTTTAGACTAATTTTCTGTCCTGTTTTATCAAATTGAATATAATAATATTATTGAAACTCTGTCAGTCATTTATTGATTCTTCTTACGAATACTTGCGTGCGATTCACTGCTATTAGTTCCACGCCATGGTATTTCAGGCTCAAATTCCTCATGATGGTGGCAATTTTTTCGACGAATAGATATAGGGTTTGAAAAGTATTTTGCACTCTTCATACATTGAAAGAATCCTTGGGGAATTCTTGTTTCTTTTATCTCTAATCCTTATTTGAAGTGTAACAAACAAGGTATTTTTATCGTTATTTCCTAATTAATTTTGAATGAAATATAAAAAATAACAAACGACCGCTACACTATGGTGCGACACTAATCTTTAAATCGTGGCGAGGAGATAACCAAGCAATTCATCATATAAATGAGTAAAATTAAGGTTATCGGCCAGGACTGCATGCTTTAATCATAGCATCTAAATTACTTTATTTTTAAATTAAGACATATATTTCCATTTAGATTATAATTGTTTTCATACTCGAAAAAAATTTTCGCCAAAAAATGTTCATTACTTTCAACAACCTCAAAATTTATGTTCAACTCAAACTTACGCTTCTATTAAATCCCGAAGGCGAAAACCACGTTGCCGATCTGTTCCAGCAAGCTCTTCCAAAGTTATCGGATTACGCAGTCCATAATTATCCATAAACATATGATTTGTTGTGTTAATAAAAACTGAATTTGCTGGGTTCCATTTGTTGACATTATTAGCCGCAAATGGTACGATTTGCAGTCCCCTGATATCTCTTAATTGATCCAGAGACAAACCTGAAATAGAAAAAGGTGTGTTGTGTAATTTTTTTTTAAAAACGGTTCAGTTCTTTATCAGTTAAGAATCATCACTAATTGAAGAAAATATGGCCGGGAAAAAATATTTACATATTTTATTCTTACACTGAACATAAATTCTAATATATGCATGAGGAGGATATTTACTATTTCCCACTCGAAAGTTATTTTCCAGAGTTCAATGCAAAAAGCCCATAACGCTTGTAGCATACCAGTAGCTCAAAGTGCAATTCAGTCACGAGCCAGTGCTTGGAATATTTAGCTGTCATTTTGTTATTTTGAAAATCCCATTGTTCTCTACGCTACATGCAGTCACTTAATGTTATTACACGTTTTTGACAATACGCAAAGCGCAGTTAAGGACAAACACAGCCGTGTCATAAAGCCGGCTAGCTGGGAAACAGCATTTAAACAAAACATGTATTATTCGCCGTTTGACTGTTTGTTGCTGCCGAGCGAAGCGAGGCAGCACACTATTCTTGACATGCTATGGTTTCTCCAGAGTCCACTCGACCCAGTCTTTCGCGCGATCTATGTATTGTCGATATATCGATTTTGTGTCTGTCCGGGTTTCGGATTTCCAGGGCAGTAATTGAAGCTTCAGGACGTTTTTTTATACGAGGGGGGCGGCCAAACTTTATTTTGTATTGCGCACGCATGATTCTTCTCGGGATTCAGTTGAATACGAGCAATACGGTCGAGCTTTAATATTTACAAGCAGTTTGTTGGATTTTCACGAACAAATCAGGTAAGGATGGCTTTATATCTTCCCGGATATCTTTCAGGTGATATGCATGAAGGCATTTTGTATATTTACATATGCTGTTTTGATATAGTATACCAAAGTATACTATAGTATAGAAGTATTGAAACAATATGCATTTATAAACTTATATATGGTTATTTATCGTCGGCTGTCTTGATCTATTCGTCAATAATGTCCTATTTATACAATGAGTCAAAATTCATTTTAGTTTATTTGTTTGTGTGGCGATGTGCGAAGGCCAATGCGATGACACGCGGCCATACGACCACATCAGCAAGTTGCTGCTCATTTTTAAATCGTGTTTAAATAAATGTTTTTGATTGATTGATTGATGAGTTTATAGTGTTCGTTCTACATGTACGGACGTCTTTAATTAATAATAATCAGGCTTAATATAAAGATTCCAAAGCGTCCCAGTGTGGATTGTTGACTTTGTGTACTTGTGTGCACATATTATAAACTATAAATATCAGCAGTTATGCATGAGTCAATTCCAGGGGTAACCCCTCCCCCCTGGAACACACCCGGGAATTTGATTTGATTGGTTACGATAGTGCAAATGCCCGGGTACAGCGACACAACTGGGAGACTAATGCACGGCCCTCAGAAACCACTGCCACCAGGTTACCCTTGGGCAAGCTGAGAGTGGAAAATTTTAATGGCATATCATAGGCATAGTTATTTAATAACATTATACTATTAAACTCCTATGGAATACTATAAGAGTGGTTAAAAGGATTTAAACAACGGCGGAAATCATTAACCTTTTATTGTTGTATTTAAATTCGCATGGCACAGCTAATATAATTTTCGCAAAAGTGAAACCATTTGTCAAATCCCCGGGGTCTCAGCTACTATAACAATACCCGGCCCCGGTGCATGTATATGACAGGCAAATTCCCGACCCCTGTGAACTGTCTATCACACAAATTCCCGAGAGTGTTCCGGGGGAGATGGTTACTCCAGGAATTTACTCATGTATTACATGTAATGCACCAGTAAAAGTAAAACCCACCCCAGGATATAGGTGGAGATTGGCTTTGAATAGTGTACCAAAACAGACAAATGCCCCCACCATATATTGGACAAAATATGGCAAAAGACAAAAAATGCCCCATCTCCCAGGGAAAAATTGTAAGTCGTGGAAGCGAATGTATCTCTTAATTAAATTAATATCAAACATATTAAAATAATGTAGTTAGTGAATTATAACAAATTTATAAAATACCTCTCGAATTCCTTGCGAGCACGCCATCTTGACCTTTGTCACATGGTATAAAATGGTAGAATCTGGGGATTCCATCGGACAAAATAGTACAAAATGTATATATGGCTGCCAACAATCCTCTAACAATTACCCCCACTATCTTCCAGGTGTAATTCGGCAGAATGACAAAACCAACAAATTCCCAATATGAGGTTGGGGAGTACTTTGACTGGTGCATAAACTCATAACAGCATGTCAATTCACTTTTGTAAAAGGTGTTATGGTCTTCTTATATCTGTGAAATAATCCTACCAGCCTACATTCATATATTCACCTAGCTGTGTCACTATATTTTAGGGTATACCATATTTTTCGGAATTGCTCGCAATTTCTTTCTTATTAATATATAGTTTTGCAGTTCTGACTGAGTACAATCTTAATCATTACAATGGGTGATGTCATTTGAAGCTGGCATATTGAACAAAAATGTCAACAAATAGATTCTGTTTCCCTATCACCAGATTGTTTGGTTGTTCTACCATAAGGTAGAACAACCTGAAGGTGCCATTAAAACGATAATTGGGACAAAAACTGACTTTAATTAAAAATTGATATTATACAGTATGCAGTGGCAATCTGACTAGCTTGCCATGCATGGCAACTGGTCATGTTATGTTAATAAACCTGCATCATTTGAATTATACAAATCATTAAAAACTTTCATGGCATGAGCTGTTGCTATGGCTTGCAATATTTATTTATTCGACTTTGTGCAAGGTGTTTCATATTCAAATTACACTTTTCCTACCTCCTGAATAGGCATCTTAGGGGCTGTTTGCTTGTTGGAAGGCGATTTAAATAAGTCATTACATATATAAGCTAAATGAAAGTTCAAATGCTTGTTAAAAATCTTGCAATTCAATTCAAAAATCTTGCAGCTAAAAATCTTGCAGTTCCATTATTGCTGCTTGAACAACCTTTGCATGTTTACAGTTTATAATCTATATTATGAATGTAGTTTTTTGCTGAATCATGCACTCTGAGTAAGTTCGTTAATTTCAATACATCAAAATAATCCGATCCTGACTCAAATCTCATCCTGGCAAAGCGGGATCAAATCAACCCTTAATATTCGCAATCGGAAATTTAGCTGAAGTTCTCTTACATGAAAAAATATTGGAGGCATTACGCTCCCACATCTTTCGATGACTACGCCTTAGTTTGCGCGTGTGATGATGCAAAATTGGTTCCCCTTAGCAAAATGCACATTACCTCGTTGGAAAAAACTATCCCTTCGTCCTTCCGTATTTGGTACTGCGGCAAAGAGGCTGAAGAGAGTTAGAGAGGTCAACCTATGAGACACCGTTCTCCCTCGACCGAGTATTGAGAAGTCGCTATTATTGGCTGTGATCTACTGTAGTTTACAAGGTATACTTATTTTGCTTCTAGATGGTCATTGCTTAGCGTTTACTATATAGTGCAATAATAACTGAATTAAAGATTTTATGTGGTAAAATTTGAAATTTTGATTCTACTAGGAGACAGCCGAGCGGGATGAAAATATCCATCTTTTAAGAAATGTAAATATCTTGCAATTGGATTGATGAAAACATTCGTTATTTATATGACATTAAATGAGTTCAATACGTCATAATGACTTATTTCTTCCACGAAGCTTTCGGGTAAAAGCAGTAACTTTCTGCACTCTGACTTTTTAAAAATCCTAATTCAGTATCTGCCACAATACAGTAGTTTCCAAGATACGGGGCAAATTAGATTTAATTATGGATAAAACATTACTTTGCACAACAAATAACTAGATACGTACTTCTGAGCATTTTGTGTATCCAGTCATTTAATGATTTCTGATATGTTACACATACGTTTCCCTCTTGGTATTTCAGATCCGCGAGATCTCTGGGTAAGTAGTGTGTCCCCTGCATATACCGCGTCTGCTTCATATAGAACGAAATATATTTGTAATCATAGCCCTGTTCTTGCCACTCAGACCAATATTTGTCGACAAATGTATGATGCAAAAAGAATTCTGGTGTCCAGGCTGAATATGTATTGCTCATTGTACTTTCCCACCCAAAAGCTTTGTTGTGAACATTATCGTGCCAACTTTGAAAAATGGTTAGCCACTCCTGAAACTCGTGAGGCTTCAGTTTCAGCAAAATTGCAAGATGTAAAGCGCTTGCGATGCCTGGTGCGGGGTACGTGAAATGTAAATATCGTCTCAATTGTAAGTCAGCATCTGGGCCGTATGGAGGAATCATTTGCCATTCAGGTTCTTTAAATGGACCAGTGATTACTGTATGATTAACGCCAATCCCATCTCCGCCAAACGACCATTCATTGTCATCCCAAAGATTAATATCAAATGGATTTACCATTACCATGCTCCAATCCCAGTAAACTAAAGTAATATTAGGGTCGATTTCTCTAAGAAGATTTTCATATTGTAGAATAAACCAACGGTGCCAAGGGAGAAAGAAAACTTTACAATGAAGAACTTTACAGAAATGATCGACGTGAACATGCCCCAAATCATAATACCGTTTGCTGGTACGTGGGTCAGTTCTCATAGCTTTTACTGCATGGATATATCGACGTCTTTCTTCTCTGGACAAGCTCATGATATCTCTACGTATACGATGCTCGCAAGGAGATTCAGCAGCTAAATCTAAGGAATGAAAATTATACATACAATTATTTTAAACGAGGTTCATGTAGGACCAAATAATTGATATGTTTTATTGATTTATTTAAACCCATTTACAAAGACACATCGGTTAATACGTCCATAAACTGAAGCACGGGAAATTGCAATTTTTCAATCATCTCTTCCTGTTTTCAACGAAACTTACATGGAAGTATTAAGATGGATAGAAACTCGTTACGGCTGTTACAAAATGGTAACTTAATTGTGTCGGGCGGATCGACTAGATATCATTTGGAATAACTATACATGCAGAGTTTTGCGTTTAACTATAAGGTCCAGAACCACCTCAAAAGAGAGGTGGTGAATATTGGAGAGGAGAGGTTCATATTAGACGAACATACCTAGTTAAAATAATGTATATAACTGGTAGCTACTCTCATGAATTATTTTGTTCAAGTTACCTTCAAGTTTTATTTTGTTTCCCTCAAATTCTCGACTACGCATTTCAAAAGCTCTCTTTTCGATACATTCACATTCTCCCAAACTGGGGCATTCTGCAGATAAAAATATTTAGATTTAGGTTGTGTTATAAGAATTCAATGCGCTCATATATATATCATGAAATATAATTGCAATTCTTGAAAGATCTCTAAACAAACTCGTTTGTTTAGCGATCCTTAAAGCGAGTGAATAATAAAATCATGCAAGCGAACCAACCACCAAGTAATTTGTTCAGTATATGCGTATGCAAATACTTGACAGCGACAGGCTTACAGTCACAGCAAACACTACGGAGCTAAAATTTTCAAGCTTCAAAACAAATTTCTTACATCTCCTTACCGTTTATATGTATTCGTTTTTTGGTTAAAAACTAAGTAAAGCTAAGAGGTTCTTTTTTTAATTTTTTTATTATAAAATAGTCGGATATAAAAAATATATAACAAGACGCTTGCTAAGCGTTTACTCGAGTTAAAGGATTTGCAAAATATCTGCGTATATCCAGCGTATTCGCATCAAGATTTAATACCGTTTTACATCTTAGCTTACTCCTTTAAAGTGAATTACTTGCGAGTTAACTGAGCGAGCTTCTTTGTGGCGTAGTGGTTTAGGCGCCCGCTTGCGAAGCGTGGTTTCCGGGTTAATTCAAGTACCATAAGCCACAGTTTTATTTTCAAATTAAAATTTTTTTTTCAACTTCTTCCGAGTATGATTGTAAGGTTAGATCTTAGGATTAGGAGTTAGGATTATGTGTGGGGTGGGTTTAATTTTTTTAAGTGAATATTTTTAACACTTTAGGACTAATTTCCTGACTGCCGACCCATAAATAACTTATATACACTAGATAGTCCATCTAATTATTCTACAATTCAAAAATTGAAGCGGCCGTGATTGCAGACTCAGAATATTCCCATGAATTGAGAAGACTCGTATGTTTTCTATTTCTTAAACAGGGAACTTAAACATTAAGTGAAACCTATACCAAATACATTTCCAAATTATTCAAATCGTTTATTCATACATCAAAGTCGTTTATTAGCGAGTGGGAAACTTCAACATGGCCGCCATCTAATCAAATGGGGATAACCGCTGGAATATTCTTGGCTTCAATTTTACTAAAAGAGATTTGCTATCTAGTGTATATAAGATATCTATGTGCCGGGCACACTGCCCGACTGATGGAATTAAGTTTGATAGTTTAGATATATGTGATGGATATTTTGAATATAAACTAAATGGAGCACACAAAATATGCGTGCAGTTGTTTAGTTCTGATCGAGTACACCGAATATGGGTACAGCCGTTAAGTTTTGGTCGAGTACGCTTTTATTATAGAAAGCGTACAGCCGTTTGCCCGTTTACTTTTGATCGAATATGCTTAGAAACTGCTTATTTTTTAAGGTAGTAATATAACCACTCAGCACAGCATTTTCACATTGGTGCTATACCTACACTGGTACAGACAGTTTTAGAATGCTTAGAAAGCGTACTAACTCGTACAGCCGTTTACTTTTGATCGAGTACGCGTAAAAAGCATACATTCACAAATACTTGATCGATCGAGTACGCATATTAAAATCCACTATTATTTACTTTCTGTATAAAGAGTACTGAGTACAGTCCTCAGAGAGTAAACAAAGTAATAGCACGAGAGCAGGAAGTCGAATGGGCCATTGAACGCCAGCACGAAGAGCAAGAATTCGAATAAGCCATTGAACGCCAATAAGATAATCACAAATAATCACATGCATCCACGATTTGTTTGGATTGGTCAGAATTAAGAGTGGCCGCGTGGGAGAATAAGTCTGTGTGAAAAAAACAGACCGAAACTATAACTCGAGCTGAGCTCGAGTAATAAAAAAATCCCACATGCGGCTTAATCGAGGAATGCACATTTGCCCGTCGCCATCTTGAATTCCGCGCAATGACCTGGGTCTCAGTTATGACATCATAGTATTGACCATGAATGATGTAATCAAAACAAACGTATTCGCGGTAAAATTAACATAGTGGATTTTGATTGGATAATTGTCGCTCGCTCATGCCCAGTACAGCCGTTCGGAATGTTGTCGTCATGCCACTTTATAAATAGTCTAGTAAAAATAGTCATAATAAAGCTACAATCCTGGACTAAACCATCTGCGAAATTCTATTAATAAAACATTCCTTTGTGGCTTTTTTTACCAGTTAGACCGGAATAATTTACTCGTTTGTCCCCCTCCACCCCCAAAAACAATGTTGGACGTTTTATCCGTATTCTACGAATGCAAACAACATTGAATGGTGGGGGAAAGGGGGAGGTTTTCTAAATTTACGATAATATTACGACATTTTGACAAGTAATTGGAAGTGTCGCAGATGTTTTATCCAGGATTGTAGTTTACTGCAGCAAAAATTACAATAAATACACGTTTAATGCTTTTAAATCATAAATAATCATATTATAATGATTTAATTTAGTTTTTGGTATCATATAAAGGAAAATAAACCGGCCGAAAATACAAAATAACACTAACATCGCGCGTATCGACATTTTTCGCAGTGATTTGGATGCATTTATATCCACACTTAGTCTCTGGCAAATTTACTTTCGTATAGTGAGCACATAGTTGCGTGCACGGTAGATGGAAATTCCGAAAATACATTTTGATTCTGCATGAAATTCTGTATAAACAGCCGTAGTTTTCCTTTTTCATTCAAAAACTGAACCGAGATATTCGCCCTTTAATACTCTAAAACTCGAGTCTTTATCCTACTATAGGAATTTGTGTACACAGTAGATGGGAAATCGGAGAACACGATTGAATTCGCCATAAAAATCGGAATTTTTTCATAGTAAATATCTCTAGTCAATTTAATAAAGAAAACTTTTTATCGGCTGTTTACCTCAATAGAAATAAACTACGGATGTAGACAAGGGATACAGGGGCACTTTAATGGATAGTCATTTTACTAGAAAATACATGCATGCGGAAACTCTCGCCTTGCTGACAAAACCATTGTATTTTCCGAACATGAAGTATCTAAAGATAGTAGTTGTCATGGTAACACTATAATTTTTTAAGAATATTCTTAACAAATGAAAAATCGCCTAAAAATATCACTTTTAATTACAAAATTATTAATTTCCCAACATATATATGTCAGCTATGTTATTATACGTAATATAAGCCTCAATTTAAGGTAGAAATCAACCACAAACGCTTCGCAAAACGTTCTAAAGTCACTAGTGTTCTTTATAAAACTAAGAGAAAGTACATTTATTACACCGAGGGAGGGGGATGAAGATGTCTTGAAAAAAGCTCATATTTTTACAGGGCCCCTGTTGAGGTTATCGGTAAATTTCGATGCCCCCCCTCCAAGTTTTTAAAATTTTCAATGCCCCCCCCCCTCTAGAATTCGGAATCGAAGGAGTACAATCCGGAATTCTCTCTTATCATAGATACAATTTGCAGTTCCTCAAGATGTTTGATATACTCAAGCATGTGCTTCTCCTCAACAAAACTACCGATCTGCTGCTTCTTTCACCTCACTAGCGCCAGATGAAATGGCACCGTCTTTAAAACATTTTAAATTGGCTCTAGGGGTGAAATTATCAACAGGTTGTTGTTGTCCATCATTCAGCGTATTCGGAGTCTTGAACACGTTCATGTAGTGGCCAGGATCAGGGTAATGTGCTGGAACCTTACAATATGTCGCCCCCACCCAACGTATCTCCCGGCATCTGTTGCAAATGTCTTTGCATGCCTGTCAAAAATGCATGCAAAAGTGCCAGTATGCTTCAATTTCTTTAATTTCCATCCCGTTTGTACAAAATATCCCATAAACATAGAACATATCATTCTTGCAAATCGTATATGCTTTTTTGTTTTTGGAACTGCTACTTTTTGGCGCGTAAATTACTTCACAAACCTGGCGCCAAAGATTTTAAATAAGCTATAGGTGATTTCATGTATCCATTTAGAAGAGCAGACTAAGGATATCTTAAAACTGAAATCGGTTTCGAATACAACCATCAGGGACGTAGCAAAGCATCTGACGTTTGGGAGGGGTGTCAGAGGATTATACGTGTGATAATTATAATAAAGCTTTTTGTGATTGATTGGCACTCTCATAAGTTTTGGGATAAAAGGGGGGTCTGGGGGTCCTCCCCCAGAAAATGTTTACATTTTTGAAGCTCTAGGACTGAATTTCTGGCGTTTTCTAAAGCAAATTTCGCAAACAAATTGCATGTAAATTGACTGTATTTTACAAAAATGGTTATCATTTCACAAAAATAATTACTTTATTACGCAA